AAATAGTATATTGGTTGTTTAGATTACGATCTATAGAGTGTAGAAAACATAGTATAAGTTTTTTAGACAAAAATTTAAACTAAAATCGCATAACACCCTTAGGTTTAATCGGTTTATGCCCTAATTATTTCTATCTTCTTTTACACATTCTTCCTTTTGAGTCCACGAAATTGTGTCATACTTTCCTCGATTTTTTCCTTTTTTTCCTTTGAGTCCAAGAAAACAAAGGTTTCAATTAAGGGTTTGGAGAAGTCTCCTTCTCAACTAGAGGGTTTGAGTTTACACAAAATATCTAAATTTTTTAAATATATTAGGAATTTTTACTTTTTTGAATTTTGTTATTTAAATTTTCGAAATAATGAGGGTAAATTTGGATTTGAATTATTATAAAATCTATTTCACCAAAATTTTCTTATAAAGTATATATGGACATTTATCCAAAAAAAGTTATTTACTTCCAATTCTCCCAAAAAATAATATGGTAAAACAAATCAAAATGATTCGCCAAAAATTATGTAATAATCCATTAATACACCAAAATTCAGTATATTAATTTTGCATCACTATTGAGAGATGTTCTTTTTTTTCCAAAAGAAAACTATGTATTTTATATATATATTTTTTTTGAAAACTATGTATTTATGTAATGCCCAGAAGATACTAGGTTGTAATCTTTATAATTATAAAAGCAAAACCGGTGATATTATTTATAATTGGATTACATGATTTATTAGTTCTTACTGGTTCACATGTTTATATATTAAAGTTTATTTAGTGGTTGGCATATTTTAGGAGACTATGAGTATCATATGTGAGTCACCACATGGAACTGATCGTCCACGCGTGTTGTATCTTATCTACTGATTTTGTCCCCAAAAGGCTAAATTCATGTGTCTTTAGTAAATTAGCTAACATTGATAGGTCCAATGACACCTTTACCACTGATTAATTTATATGTCCGATGAGATTTTTTTTTTGTCATCTAAAATTAATTAGAGCTCTATTTATAAGGAATGTTGTTTACATATGTGATATAAAGCGGTTTTGTACGAACTTTCCGTGACAGATTATCCGTTTTAACATTAGCCCTACGAGAAATTAAAGATAAAGAAAAAGATGAAAACTCCTCATTTTCGCTCTGAAATTCCTCCATATACACTGAAAACACCGACCATTCGGTTGGAGAATACACCATCTTCACCAGGTCTGAACACTCAGTAAAGAACGCTACCTCTTGATGATCTGCACCAATCATACATTTCATCGCCTAGAGAAGGGCCTCGACTTCGGCATGTAGTGGAGATAGACTTCTACGGAGGTTCGCAACTCCTATGGTTGGCGGCTCTCCATTTGACGATGTACAGAACCACCCAGTACCGGAGAACTTATCACTTTCTTTCCATGATCCATTCACAAAACAACGGTATCCAGAATAATTCGACTCAAGTAAAGCATCCCTCACTCGAATTCGATTTACCAAGTCCACAGAACCATGATTTTCAATATGAAGCTCAATTTGAGCTGACTGCCACAATTGTGCCTCTTTTTTTGCTAATCGTAATACCTCTATTGGGTCTTTATCTATATTTTCAAAGATCTTTTCGTTTCTTGATTTCCAGATATACCAAATAATCCAAGGAAAGGTGATATGAGTTAAATTAAGACCTAAGACTACTCTCTCAAATAAGAGATCAATTGCAGTACTTTAGGGTCGAATTCCATAAAGTTCTTTTGTTCACACAATAAGTTATAAGTTTCGAAATTAGGCTAAACAAGATAATTAAAATTAAAATAAAACACGAGCAAGCAATATTATCGAGTGAAAAGATCAATAGACTAAAACGTCAGGTTTAGGGAAATTCTCAGGAAATAAACTATTAGTAAATCTAGCAAGTTAATTAGGATTATTTAATGAACCGTTCTTGAACTCGAATCACTAATGAATAGCTAACCACCTTTCGATGCGATAACTAACAAGCCTAGTATTAGTAATTCTACATCTCGATGCGAATTCCTAGATCTAGACTAGCATTAAATTCAGGTTTGATAAGTTCACCTCAGTAGATAGGCAGATTCTTATTACACACCTATAAACCAGGCTCATCTAGTAATTCAGGTAACAGGTGCCCTCTCGGATCAAATACCTATTATCCTATGATCAAGTTCTAGTTAGCTACTCTAGAACTAGCATTAAGAACAACCTAGATGAAGAACTCTATGGATTAATCCTAACAGATAATTGATTTACTAGTTCATCTAAATCCCTAATGAGAATCTCTAAACCTAACAGGGAGATTACTCAGACATGATTAATGAAACAGAAAACATGTTGAATAAATTGCAAAATAAGAAATTAAAAGAAGAAAAGAGTTTAGAATAAATCTTCTCTCTAACGAGGTGTTGAATCTCTGAAAAGTTGCTCTCTCCAATTATCTTCCAAAGGGTTCAAGCTTAGAGAATTACAAAAGCCAAAAACAAGATAATGAAATAGAAAAACCCTAAAAACTATTTATAAAGTCTCAAAAACGTGCAGAGACTAAAATTGCAAATAGGAAGTCTTCTGGGTAAATTCTGCGGACTTTAAAAACTCTAAACCGTCGAGATTTCTTGCTGGGCCGCATATGGTATGGAGCGACACCAAGCGACACCAATTCCTTGGTGCGAACCGGATTCGTCTCTTCAGCTCCAAATCTTCGGTTTAGCTCCAGAATGATTCTTTTTCTCCAATTTTGTCCCGAACGTGCAAAAACCTGAAAAGACTCAAAAAGACACTAGAAACAATAAAAAAGACTCTAAAACTAACACGTAAATCACGGTTAAAAACTGGTAAAATCCGTGATATATCAAAAGGCTGATGAATCAACTCCCGAAGGTGTTCTCTAAAATAAATGATTCAAATTTGCAAAATTAGATTCCGTGGGAAAATTCTCCATACTCGTAGGAATCTGTGAAAGCGCCCAAATCTGTCGTGTCGGGTGGCAGTGAAAGAGTGTATGATTGATTGTTTCCTCTGATTCGCCACACCTGGCACATCCCGTATCACAATCAATTTCTCTTTTCCGCAAATTTTCCGTAACCGGTACACAACCCGTTAAGATTTGCCACAAGAAATGGCGTATCTTAGGTGGACACTGCACTTGCCAAGAATGAGCTTTTAGCGGGTTGATATCATAGCAAAATAAGGGTAAATTGGTCTCTGACTTTTCTATCCGTGTGGTATGATATCCGTTTAGTGATACCTAAGGTGGATTTGATTTCTTCCTTGATATCATCATCTACCTTATGTCCAAACTGAATCGAGGATTTTAAAAAATTAATCTGCTGTCCTGAAATCGCTTCATACTTCTTCAAAATCCCTAAAATTAACCCACACTGGTCCTTGTTAGCCTTGCAAAAAAATAACCTATCATCCGCAAATAACAGATGTTAAACCGAAGGGCTTGCATTTGCTACTTTGATACCCGTAATTAATTTTTCCCGTTCAGCTTTCCGAATATTCGCACTTAGCACTTCAGTGCAAAGGTTGAATAAATAAGGTGAGAGCGGGTCTCCTTGTCGTAAACCCCTCTCTGGTACTATTAGTCTTCTAGGTTGTCCATCAAGGAGAATTCTATATTGGACCATTGTAATACACCACATTATCCATTTAATCCATTTTTCACAGAAACCCAATTTTCTTAAAACCTTCTCTATGAAAATCCATTACACCCTATCATAAGCCTTACTCATATCCGTTTTAATGGCCATGAATTTCCTTTACATGACGGGTTAGTCCTTATCCCATAGAACATCTCTTGTGCAATGAAAATATTATCTGAAATCAATCGTTCTTCTACAAAAACCGATTGTGTTTCCGAAATCAATTTTGGTAGCACCGTCTTAAGTCTTTGGCAAAGAATCTTTGATATAATTTTAGACCCAACATTGCAAAGACTGATACGCCGTAATTCTGTCATCCGTGTCGGTCTTTCCGTTTTTGGAATCAGATAAATATTAGTCGTATTTAACCGTTTATCAAAATTTCATCCTCTAAAAAGAAGTTGACTAGAAAAAGAAGGTCTGTTTTAATAGTAACCCAAGCCTTTTGGAAACAGAGCCGATCTTACCTCACATTCTGTTGCGGGTGACGTTAGAAAATTATTAATCTGACCCGTAATCAGTTTGAACTTCTGCCAAGGATTCCTCAAAAGCCTCAGGCTTAGTTGTAGTAAACAGTTCCTTAAAATAAGATATCGCTATTGATTGAATATCTTTATCATCAGCAGACCAAATCCCGTTTTCATCATGTAACCTAGTTATTCGATTTCTTGCCTGTCTTTGTTAGTGCATGAAAATACTTTGAATTATTATCCCCTAGTTGCATCCAAAAGCTCCTACTTTTCTGATGCCAATACAATTCTTCATATCGATAAGCCTCTTTCAATCGCAATGTTAATTCTGTAATCTCCCCCCGTGGTCTCCTATCATCTCTTTGTACCAGAAATAATTCCGATTTTAGTTACTCAATTGTTTGCTGCCCATAGGGAGTTAAATCTTTCCTCTACTGCAAAATAGCCCGCCTATAATTAGTCAATTTTTCCACAAATTTTCCCTTTCCTAACTCAGAGTCAGAATTCCAACCATTTGATATTGCCTCGAGTAATCCTTCCTTCCCAATCCATCTTTTATCAAACCTGAAATTTCTTTTCCCACGTGGGACCTTATCCTTGAGCGTAGCTACCACCGGTGAATGGTCGGAAGCTACCATTAGTAAATATTTAACGAAAAAATTGCAGAACAATTCATGCCAATCTTCGTTTGCTAAAGTTCTATCCAAACGACACCGTATTGGTTTCTTATCCCGCCAACCCCGCCATGATAACCAACTAATTAAACCGATCCGTGTTAACCGTTCCCAAACTTGATCTCTATTTTTTGGAACAGGATCACCATAAACGAAAGTAAGATGTACTGTTTTTCCTTTTACCACCACCTCAGCATCAATTAAACGATTACTTTCATAAATAATTGAAACATTAAAATCATTATTATAATAAAGTGTTAAACCACCAGTACAACTGATAGGATCAACTGTTTTTAAATTTTTATAACCAAAATGAACGATACATTTTTCCATAAACCAAGAAGGTTGTTTTGTTTCCGAAAAAAATAAAAAGTTTGGCCAGTGTTGTTTCCATATATCCCGAAGATAACCGATAGTTGCCTTATTCCCGAGTCCTTGACAATTCCAACTCAAAACCATCATTTATCAACCTTGTGTTTCGGCGGATTGCGTCCACCCGTGAAGTCCTTCACCGTGCCATAGTGCGTCGAGTAATGGCCTTCATTCCTTTGATTCTTCTTTAAAGAAACCCATTCACAATTGAAACTAAATATTTTAACCCTTATAGTATCCACAACCAACCATAAAAAGAACCGGAAATCAAACCGTAGTAAAACCGTTTGTTACAACCACTGAAACTCAACTCCATACACTCAAAATCCAAACACAATCGACCAACATCATACCTTTTAGGAAAATTCTGACCACCCACAATAGCCCTTGGAAGAGAAATCAAGGCCCTCCCACTCCTATCATTGGACAACCATCTCTTAAAAACTCCTCGATCTAACCGTCTCTTTTCAATCGTTTTCAACCGAAAGTAACTTTGATCCGCAGCCCAAAACCAAACTGAAACTAAAACAAACTCAAATTCCGACATCAACACATCGCAATCTAAAATTTGTATCCCATTGAAACTCAATTCCAGAAACTCAAACTCCAAATACAATCAGAAAACTACAGCAACCGAAACAAATAGTGACCACCACCGGGAACCATCATATCTGAACTCTCCATCTCGGTCTCTTCCTTTACCAAAATCAAATCCTCAACTTCTTAATACCCAGAAGCTAGATTAAACCCATTAATCAAACACGCAAAGTTCCAATCGAGGAAAAATAATCGAATAGAATCCAGGGATTCATGAATGATATCCCACCACCAGAAACAGAGTCGATTGACCACACACCACCACCAAATCGAGCACAAAGCCCCCAGACTTACCAGACAAGACCACCAAGTCTGAATTATAACCACCGTAAAAGCCAAGAAGGAACCTTTACAAAGAGACATCTCAGATCCAAACCTTCTTAACCAAAACCATTTCAAACCTTAGCATGAAACACCTAAATCAGACCGGGATCTACTCAATACCGCTTTTAATTGAGATTTTGTTCCCCTTTCCAAGCCTTAAAACTCTTTTCCTTGGAAAACAATCTTTACTTGCCTCCTCCATTGGCCCCCGATACATCTCCCTCAAGACCATCGGCTACATGCCTGCGTAATCCTAATAACCGATGAAACCAATTGAGATCCAATATAGAATTCTCCATCAAGACCCAGGAGAGAGATCTCACTCTTCTATACAAATATTTGAACCCGTCGGAGACCCTGCAAAATGACATAACCTCTTTGGATCCATCGGCTGAATGATTCAGTTACCCATGAAACCAGAGAAATCAAACGAACCCGAAGAGAAACTCTATCTTCAATTCACCAGACCGCTATCGCAATCACTAGCAGTGGTCCCAGAGCCTCCGTTGCCAGCGAACACAAAATCATAGTCGAGCTCATCCCTCGACTAGCAACCTCTGAAATACGAGAAACTAAAGGAATCAAACGATCCGTAGGAGGAAATCTCCCATCAAACAACTCCTCGCTCTCAAAGCCAGAAGCAAGAGAAAATCCCCTTCGAAACTGTCGGCCCAAAACTTCTCTCACCACCGAAACCAATAAAACCAATCGCACCCAAAAAGAACCCAACCATCAGCAAACCAGACGTAGATCTCAATCGCCACCGGAGAAACCAGCTCCGCCGTCGCCTGAGAAGAAGAGCGCATCGTCGGGTCAAAGCCCTAGCTTCGTCGCCGTCGCCATCGCTTCGTCGCCGTCGCCATCGCTTCAGAGAAAACGCGTAAACTTTTTTGTTGTTGGAAGATTTGATCAGATTTTTTTTATCTGCATTAATATAAATTATTTTCTTTGTTTCATAATATAAAATGTTATAAAAAATATTTATATTTCACAATATAAAATATTTTAAAGTTATTATGCAAATTATAGATTAAATTAATTTTTTATAGATTGGCTGATTTTTTTTTACAATAGATATTTTCTTAATCTGCGTCTTTTTAATTAAAACATCTTATAGTTTGAAACAGAAGAGTAACATTTAATATATGTCAAAATACAATAAAACTCTAGATATTAATTTGGATTTCAAAATAACAAAATACATGCAAATATAAATATTTACTGACGAATACACATGTAAACAATATTTTTTTTTTATTCATAAATTTTTAAAAGATTTATATGTCACAATACTTGTTAAACTATCAAATTTAGAAAATTATAAAACCAAAATTTGTGTTAGGAATAAACTTTTCCATTTACCTCTTCTTTAGTTCTAAGTGATAGACCAAAATAACTTCTCTTGGAATCATTATAAGATAATAAATTATGGGAAAATTGAAAATAAAAGATAAATAATTAAAATATTGTCCATCTATGTATTATATGTTTATTATTAGTCATATATGCTTTCATATTAGTCATATACACTTTAATATAACAAAAATTTCATTATAACCCAGTTCTTTTAAAATCTTGCTGACCTATATAAAATTTCCAAAATTAATTTGAATTTTTTCTAAAAATATTTTGTAGAAAATATAGAGAAAGAGCAAAATTTATTTACTTTCCATTATTTATTATGTTGTAGATAGTTCGTGTTTTATTTTTTAGTTTTATGAAACCATCATCTTTAGGCCTTCAAGAATTGTTGTAGATTGCAAGGTGAGTAATTTCGCACATTTTTCTTCATCAACAATAAATTTCCACTCCTTATCATCGAACGATCTCCATACACCACAGTTAACGTAGATCTGCATCATATTTGTTTGTCTCACACTAGTAAAATTTAAACTCTAAGACAAGGATTGTGAATAGGGAGAAGAAAGAAGAAAGAACAAAGAACAAAGAACAAAGGAGGAAGAAGGAAGAAGAAGAAGAAGAAATAAAGGACGAAAGGACAAGAATAAATAAGAAATTGAATAGAATTCTTTGTACCTAATTTTTTTTTGTCAACAACTTTATTAGATTAGCTTAAAATAGCCAATTCTGGGGATTATTGTTTACATAGGTGATTAGATGAGGTTGGGTACGAACAGTTCGTGCCAAGTTCTCCGCTTTTGTATTCACATGTGATATGTCTATATTTTACTTGTTTTGAGCATCCATTTAGCATCACTTTATCATCATTTCGTCATTGTTTCATACCATTCTTCATCATTTGTCATCACTTTGCATGATTAGGATAGTTTTGCATGCATGTTGCATATTTGAGTTGTTTTCAGGTGATTTGGAGCTGTTGGTGAGCAAATTGGAAGAAGTGGACCAGAACCCATCAGTATGCTCGACCACGAGGTCAAGCACCATCATCATGACCTTCCAAATGCACTCGACCACGACCAAGTCGAGCACCAAGTCGATCACCAAGTCGATCACCAAGTCGAGTACCCTCTCCTTCACCAACTCGACCTACCACTCGACCTCGTGGTCGAGTACCAGCTCCTTCACCAAGTAGACCACGACTCCAGATCACGACTCGAGCACGCAGTCGAGTATCCTCCACCAACTTACTCGACCAAGCACTCGACTGCACGCTTCAGAGGCTTCTCAGATCCAAACTCAACCAGACACTGAGCATAAGGAAGAGAAGAAGATGAAGCGGGACTCGAGTGCATACTCGACCTAGTCACTCGATCGCATCACGACCAGATCAAGAAACCGCAAAGGAGCCAGCTTTGCTCGACCTCTTCACTCGATTGCACGAAGCCGAATGTCTCCGTAAACCGCCTTAATACTTTGTCGTCTTGTGATTTAGGGTTTCCTAGTATTTGCTATAAATAGGTTGTTTCTCATAATTTTCAGACTAAGTTTTATTTCTGTCTAAGTTTTATTATGCAGAACAATTAGTGCTTTCTTCATATTTGTAATCCAGATTTCTCTTAATCTATTGAGTATTTGCTTTTGATTTCTTCTACAAAGTTGTTCATCTTGTTGAGATCTTGCTAATATGAAGTTTTTATGTATTTCTGGGTTTGTGTTCTTGGTTATGAATTTTGAGTAGAGATTAGGGTTCTTGAGGATGGGTTAGAGTAGTTTAGAATCCTTGATCTGCTAGGTGGTTGAGTTTGATTGGTAGATCCCTTCTGGATTAGTTGTTCTTAATGCTGATTGCTTTCTGATCAACTGGAATCTGAGCCCAGACATTTCCGCACCCAAAAGGTGTTCGATGAAATGTCTGAACCACTAATTCCAGAGATTCGTGGCTCTGTACCAAGGTATTGGTTACAGGGAGCGTTTTGGCTTAGACTTGTTGTTTCGTAATGCCTGTTAGGTTAGCTCTCGTCAATGGTGATTGATTCTGGGAAGACCTTTCTTGGCGACTGCTGGAGCTATCATTGATGTCAAGAAGGGGAAGATCGATCTGAACCTTGGTAAAGACCTTAAAATGACCTTTGATATAAAGGATGCAATGAAGAAGCCAACTATAGAAGGGCAACTCTTTTGGATTGAAGAAATGGATCAGTTAGCTAATGAGTTACTAGAGGAACTAGCAGAAGAAGATCACCTTAAGAGTGCTTTGACCAAGAATGGTGAAGAAGGGTTTCTGCATTTAGAAACTTTGGGTTACCAGAAGCTGTTGGACTCACACAAAGCAGTAGAAGAGTCAGAATCCTTTGAGGAATTGAATGGGTCAGAAACAGAGGTAATGGCAGTGAATGACGAGGACTCAACTCAGGCTCAACCTGCTCACTCGAGGACTTACTCGACTGAACACTCGACCACTACAGTTGACATCCCTGAGGAGCTGATCATTCCAACATCAGACGACTGGTCTGAACTCAAGGCACCAAAAGTTGAACTTAAGACGCTTCCCAAAGGACTCAGGTATGCATATCTAGGTAACAACTCTACATATCCTGTCATTGTGAATGATGCATTAACTGATGAACAAGTGCATCTTCTGTTAACTGAACTGAAAAAGTATAGAAGAGCCATTGGTTATTCACTTGATGATATAAAGGGCATTTCACCTAGTTTATGCACACATCGCATTCATCTTGAAAATGAATCTTATTCGAGCATTGAACCCCAAAGAAAATTGAATCCTAATTTAAAAGAAGTTGTAAAGAAGGAGATACTTAAACTATTGGAAGCAGGTGTAATTTACCCTATTTCCGATAGCACTTGGGTATCTCCATTTCATTGTGTTCCAAAGAAAGGAGGTATGACTGTTGTAAAAAATGATAAAGATGAGCTCATACCCACTAGAACTATAACTGGACATAGAATGTGCATTGACTATAGGAAGTTGACTTCTGCATCTAGGAAAGATCATTTTCCACTTCCATTCATTGATCAAATGCTAGAAAGGTTAGCTAATCACCCATACTACTGCTTTCTTGATGATTATAGTGGTTTCTTTCAAATACCAATTCACCCTGAGAAAACTACATTCACATGTCCATATGGAACCTTTGCATATAAAAGAATGCCTTTTGGTCTATGTAATGCACCAGCTACATTTCAGCGGTGCATGACTTCTATCTTCTCGGATTTAATTATGGAGATGGTTGAGGTATTCATGGATGACTTTTCCGTGTATGGCTCCTCCTTCTCCTCTTGTTTGTCAAACTTGTGCAGGGTACTTTCTAGGTGTGAAGAGACGAACTTGGTACTCAACTGGGAAAAATGCCATTTCATGGTCAAAGAAGGCATTGTATTGGGACACAAGATTTCACAAGATTTCAGAGAAGGGTATAGAGGTTGACAGAGCAAAGATTGAGGTTATGGTGCAACTGCAACCACCAAGGAGTGTCAAAGATGTGAGAAGTTTTCTGGGACATGCTGGGTTTTATAGAAGGTTTATCAAGGATTTCTCCAAGCTGGCAAGACCAATGACAAGGCTGCTGTGTAAGGAAACAGAGTTTGATTTTGATGAGGAATGCCTGAAAGCTTTTCAACTCATCAAGGAAGCTCTGATTTCAGCTCCAATAGTCCAAGCTCCAAACTGGGACTATCCATTCGAAATCATGTGTGACGCTTCAGATTACGCTGTAGGAGCAGTCTTGGGACAAAAGATTGACAAGAAGCTCCATGTCATCTATTACGCAAGTAGAACAATGGATGATGCTCAGGTAAAGTATGCCACAACAGAGAAGGAGTTATTAGCAGTTGTTTTTGCGTTTGAAAAGTTCAGAAGCTACTTGGTGGGTTCTAAAGTCATAGTCTACACAGATCATGCAGCCTTGAGACACATTTATGCAAAGAAGGACACCAAGCCAAGACTATTGAGATGGATACTACTTCTGCAAGAGTTTGACATGGAAATAGTAGACAAGAAGGGTATAGAGAACGGTGTAGCTGATCACTTATCAAGGATGAGGATCGATGATGAAGTCCCTATTGATGATTCGATGCCAAAGGAGCAACTCATGGTTACAGAATTCTTTGGAAAGAATTACAGTGGGAATGAGTTTCACCAACTGAATGCTGTTGAAGGAAAATCTCCATGGTATGCTGATCATGTCAATTACTTGGCCTGCGGAGTAGAGCCTCCCAACCTGACCAGTTATGAAAAGAAGAAGTTTTTCACAGATATCAACCACTACTACTGGGATGAGCCATATCTTTACACTCTCTGTAAAGACAAAATTTACAGAAGATGTATCTCAGAGGAGGAAGTGGAAGACATCTTGCTTCACTGCCATGGTTCAACATATGGTGGTCACTTTGCAACTTTTAAGACAGTATCTAAGGTACTGCAAGCAAGCTTCTGGTGGCCAACCATGTTCAAAGACGCCCAGCAGTTCATATCAAGATGTGACTCATGCCAAAG